AAAGAGGGGGGATCTCTTTTCCACCCAAACTCCCAGACACCATTGTAGGAGCCAACGTGATTTTGAAAAGGAGGGTTCTGTCAGCCTCTTCCAAAATAAATCAGAACTTTAAATAGAAAGGCCCTTGACATCCCGTTCAGGGACAAATAAAACCACCTGCTCACTGATGGCAGCATGTAATGAATGTCCCTGCAGGGCAAACACTTTGGTCATAGCTGTTTACCACAAGGAATAAACAAGTACACACACACACACACACACACATCTGTAGGCCAACTAAAGCAGTGGTTCTCAACCTTCCTAAAGCTGTGACCACATGTGTTCCCAACCATAAAATTATTTTCGTTGCTACTTCATCACTGTCATTTTGCTACTGTGAAAGGGTCGTTCAACCTCCAAAGGGGTTGCGACCCACAGGTTGAGAATCGCTGATTTAAAGCTTTAGGATCTGCTGGCTGCCCAGAACTGATGACAGAGGGGCAGGTGGTTCCCAGGAAGTCGTGGGGACTGTAAGCCCACCCAGGGTTCCGTGTGGGGCAGAGAGGAAGGGCAATGTCTCCAGCCTGGCTCCTCCCTCCCTTTCTGGACCCTCCTTACCTCCCAGACGGGGACCCCGCCTTCATGTCTACACATCCCCCGCACCCCCAGCCTCCTGCCCCGATCTTCCCTCTCCTTCCCTCATCCACCAGTGCCTCTGGGAAGAGGGCATTTGAGAAGTGGTGGAGTGTGGAGGGGGGAAAGGAACCCCAACACCTGTGGGTGACTTGGTCCTTGTATCAGGGACTGCACCTGCCTTTTCAAAAGCTCTTCTTCGTCCTACATGACCCCGGTGCTACATCTTAGAGGTGAGTGCCTGGCCAGGGCTGGGGAATGGCCAAGACTTTGGAGAGAAGCCCATGGGACTGCTGGGAGCTGGGCAGGCTGTGGGCTGCCTGCAGCAGACCCTCCCCACCCCTAGAGCTCAGCAGTCCTGTGAGGTCAGCACTATTATTATCCCACTCTGACAGTGCCAGGGGCTGTGGCTGGGAGAGGGTAAGGGGCTGCACTGAGAGCTGAACCCAGGCCTTCCTGTGACACTGGTGTGAGCTCGCTGCTATCCACATGGGGGACCCTTCCCCACTCACTCCCTGCCAGCAGAGTGGGTGCTACCTTGAGAGGGGACTTTGAGTCTGGGTTTCTTACCCTAAGACTTGTCACACTGTTGAAAAAGGTTGGTGGGGGAGGGAGGGGAGTGTCTCTCTGAGCATCAGTCTGTGTGTGTGTGTGTGTGTGTGTGTGTGTGTGTGTGTGTGTGTGTGTGTGTGTGTGTGTGTGTGTGTGTGTGTGTGTGTATGTGTCTTCTAGAACAATATAGAACTCAACTCACTGTCAACAAGTCCCTTATGACCCGCAACCAGCCTACAGGACAAGGTAGAACTGCCCCTCTGGGTTTCTGAGGCTGTAACTCTTTAGCAGAGTAGACAGCCTGGTCTTTCTCTCAGGATAATAGTCTAGACCCATCTCCATTTAAGAGTACCTACACAACTAGTTTGCCACGTTAGACAATGTTCTCGTGAGTGCTGCTTCTGGGGGCTGTCCGGGAATGCCAAACCCGGAGGACTGTTTCAGAATCCAAGACTTTGGAGGGTGGCCCATGGGACTGCTGGGAGCTGGGCAGGCCCGTGGACTGCCTGCAGCAGATCCTTCCCACCCCTCGAACCCAACAGTCCTGTGAGGTCAGCTGCATCCCAGCTCCTGCCCAGAGATGAACCAGAAGGGGAGGAGAGGTCAGGGAAGACTCCGACAGACAGGATGTCTTTTTTCTTTTCTTTTCTTTATTTTGCCAGCCCTCCACTGGTAGGAAGAAAGTCAACTTTGTAGCCGCCGTAGTAAAGACAAAAGCGTTGCTGGGATGCTGGAAGCTAGGATGTGCTTGTATTTCAAATACTAGCAGGGTCATCTATGATAAACAGGTTTCCCTGGAGCTTGCAGACAGACAGAGCCTAGGAATAAAGGCCTGGTGACGTGCCGATGGAAACCCTATGGTGCTCCATGGGAGCCTGACCTCTAGAGAGCGGAAGATGAGCCCCCTGGGAGGGATGGCATGACATCACAGCCACAGCCATGGTCCAACGGGACCAACGGCCATGAAGACAGTACAGGCGCCCGCAACACTTGGTTCTGTTTCACAGACAAAGTTTCCACGAGTTGGCGCCAACTCCATGGCCATCAATGAAGATCAAGACAGAAGAAGAACATTGAATCATACAATAATCCCAGAAGATGTCTACAAATTCATAACCTATCTGCCAACAGTATGTGAAAACAAAACTTCTTCCACAGCTAAATAGCCAAAACAAGATGCCTGTTCACCTGTCCATCCCTCCATTATCCGTCCATCTATTTATCCATCATCCATCCATCTATCCTTCTATCCATCCAATCCATCCCTCCATTATCCGTCCATCTATATATCCATCATCCATCTATCCTTCTATCCATCCAATCCATCCCTCCATTATCCATTATCCATCCATCCATCATCCATGCATCCATCTATCCATCCACTCACCCATCCATAATCCATCCATTCAGCATCCATCATCCATCCAGCATCCATCCACCCACCCATCCCTCCATCCATACCTCCATATATCCATCATCTATCCATCTATCCATCCATTCATCATTCATCCATCACCAATCCATCCATCATCTATCATCATCCATCCACCCATCATCTATCTATCTATCCACCCAGCTTCCATCATCCATCCATCATTCCTCCCTTCATCCATCCATCACCCACCATCCATCCATCCATCTATCCATCCATCCATCCATCCATCCATCCACCCATCCACCCATCCATGTCTGCAAGCATTCACCCAGTCCTCCGCATGCCCTGGGCAGGCAGAATTCTGTCTTTAGCCAGTTTGTGCTGTTCCTTTTACCCACACATCTGACAGATAGTTATAAAAATCCCAGTGAAACTGTGTACCCGTGTTCATTGCAGCAGTGTTCAAAAGAACCAAAAGGTAGAAACGACCTGAATGCCCCTCAGCGGGTGAGTGGCTACATAACCCGGAGTGCACACATGCAATAGACAGCCAGTCTGCCAGTCAGAGCCATTAGACCGTGATACATTACAGTGCAGATGGTGACCAAAGGTCTCATGCTGAGCGAGAGAAGCTAGTTCCGGAAGGACAAGTATTGAATGAATGAGCTCACTGGCAGAACAGACAAAAGAAGGCAAATGTGTACAGAACAAAGTTGACTAGTGGTTACCTGGAAGGGCAAGAAGGCGGGTGGGGAAGAGTAGCTAATGATGATGGAAATGTTTTGTTGACTAAGGGTAGGGTTGCAGGTCCATTATTGTAATTGCTATGGATAAGTCCTATACCTAGAAAGCTGAATTGGCAATGTTGCGTGATGGATATACTTACAACAGCCACAAAAACAGAGAATCGCCGCCGAGGCTGTTTGTGTACAGCCAAAACCTTCGTGGGATTTGGTTCCTTGGTGTGGAGTCCGTGTAGGGTCATGGTTTCATGGGGCGTCCAAATTCATTGGCCTAATAACATGCTGGGTGCTTCTGTTCTACCTTCTAGTGCGATGCAGGGTGCCTGGGGCCTGAAAAGCTTCCAAGCAGCCCTCCAATGCACAACTGGTCTCTCTTCGCCTGGAGCCACAGAGGAAGGAGGAGAATCAACTAGCGGGGAGGACACGGAAGGCCTGGCTCATTGTCGCCAGGAAGAGTGGACTCTGGATGTGCCCAGCAGCCATCCCTAAACACTGTGATCAAAGATTCCACAGAAGAATCCCGATGGAAGGGGGGAAATGCACAGCCGATGTTTACGTTCTCATGAACTCTAGAGCCTGTGCAGTCATGGAGGCTAGATGGACGTCTGAAGCTATCACCCTGAAATCATCTTTCAACCTTCAGCCAACACTATCCCCAGAAGTCTACTTAAGATCGGGCACAAGGGTAGCTTGTCTCGTTAAGGAGGTCTGCCTTGCACGCATGGTCTTTTAAGGAACCTAGTAGACAATAGGAACTCAAAGGATCAGATAGGAACCTGAGGCGGCGGTGAGTTTGCGTGAGTGGGGGAGGAAGAACTCGGAAAAGGAGGATGAAGGTGCCCGTACAACTTGGAAAATGTAGTCAGCATCTCTGAATGGCATGAGGGAGCATCACAAAGCCCATGGAAAATGAAAGTAAGAAGAGCGAGGAGACGGAGGGAGAACCTCCCTTCACTCCAGCCTGCGCTCCCGCTGCTGACATGATACCCAGTTGCACACAGGCTAGGCGTCCCGGAGGCCACTAGCCACAAGGTCGGCGGTTTGAACCCAGTGGCTGTCTGCTCCTGTAAAGACTGGCGGCCTTGGAAACCCACACAGAAGCTCTACTCTGTCCTACAGGGTCGCTGTGAGGTGGGATCGACTTGATGGCAGTGGGTTTGGGTTTTGGACACCCAAGGTCACCTTCCCCAGCAAGGCCAAGGTCTTCTAGAAAGATCTGCTTCCTGGCCTGGGGCCCTTTGTACACACTGCCCAACGCTCACGGAACTCACTGTCAAGGAGTTGATGCCGACTCAAAGCGAGCCCACAGGACAGGGACGACCAGCCCCTGTGGCTTTCTGAGACTGTAATTCTTCCCGAGAGCAGAAAGCCTCATCTTTACCCCTTGCAGCTGCTGGTGGTTTTGAACTGCTGACCTTGCAGCCCGATGTGGAACCCACTACATGATCAGGGCTCCTCTACACACAGTGGAAGCTCACAGCCTCATGTGTTAAGTCATGGAGCAGCAAGATCTTGGCTGTCATCTTTATGGAAGGAGATCGCCAGGCTTTTCCTCTGCAGCCCCGCTGGGTGGGTTTGAATCACCGACCTTTAGGCTTCTAGTCCAGTGATTTTCCATAGCTCCCCCACCCCCACCCGAGTGTCGGCATCAGCAGGGGACTTGATGCTGTGGATAAAAGGAAGGGGAAGGGGAGGGGGAGTGGGGACAGGGTGCTTACCTCATGCTGGGGACAGTGGTCTCACGCTCGCTAGCAGCCAGTGCAGGGTCCAGGGACAGGGTCCCCAGGCTGGACCGGCTGTCCTTCTGCAAGGGTCCCCGGAACTCGCTGGAGCCGGTGTCCTCGTCAGAGGAATTGTCCTCAAAGGAGCCCAGGATGAAGTTGGTCATCAGCTGCTTCTTGATGTGGGCCTGCTTCTCGTCTTCTCGGGCTCGCTGGCCCCGGGCTTGGGCCTGGGAAGACAGGCTATTGGCCTCTGGGGCTGCCCCATTGGCTTGGCATTCTGGGGAGGTCGACGGGTCAGTGGAAGAAGGTGGGTTTCTGGGGGGTTTCTGGCGTGGGGGTGGCCGGGCAGTCCTCCGCCGAGAGGCATCTTTGGGGTCTGTGAGGGGGGGTGGCTCGGCCTGCGTGGGCGTCTTTGGCAGAGTGCAGTTGTCACCATCGGCATCTTTGGGCAGTGGCTGCTCTGAGCTGTCGGAAGCCGGAAAGGGCTGCTGGCCGGGCATGGACTCGGGTCTGCTCTTGGGGGCCGGGCCAGCGTCTGTCATGGTCTTGCCGAGTATGAACCGGGAGAAGGTGAGGCAGGAGAAGAACAGGAGGGACAGACAGAGGAGAAGGATCATTCAGGAAACCTGTACGGACAGAGGAAGAGGTGTGTTATGGGTACAGCATTGAACTGTTCCTCTCTTTTAAAAAAAAAAAAATCATTTTATTGGGGGCTCGTACAACTCCTACCACAATCCAGCCATTGTGTGTCAAGCACATCTGTATACTTTTGTACATTTTGTACATTTGTTCTGCTCTTAAAGGTGGCTGAGGGGAGCCAGAGGCCAGAGGGGAGGGGCTGTGGGCTGAGAAAAGAGGCAGGCTCCCTGCCCACCTCTGTCACCCACTTTTGGGACGCCCCTTAGACCCTCTGGGTCTGTCATCAAGGAATCCCAACGCATAACCCCCAAATCCCAAGCCAACTGCCATCAAGCTGGTTCCGACTCACCAGCAGCCCAGCCTGGTGGCGTAGTGGGTTCCTGGTTGGCTACTCACTGCAAGGTCAGCAGTTCAAACCCACCAGCCACCCCTCGGGAGAAAGATAAGACTTTCTGCTCCTGTAAAGATGTGTAGACAGGGCAGTTCTACCCTGTCCGTTGCATCGTTGTAAGTCAGAACAGATTCGATGGCAGTGTGTTTAAGAGATGCAGCTGGTGGAGCGAGGGCTTAACATGTGTTTGCTGAATACGTAAACTCAGCACTTTCAATTTCTAAACCACTTTCTGCACACTAACTCTGCCCCACCTGGGAGCTGTTTGAAAGAAATAGTCTCTCTCTTTTTTAATATTAAATAGCAGTTTTATTGTTTTTTGGTCATGTCACTTAATTTTTTTTCAAGTTATCACAAAATGTTTACTTTGTTTCTTTTTTAAAAAAATACTTTTATTGGGGGCTCTTACATCTCTTATCACAATCCATACATTCCTCCAATGTGTCAAGCACATTTGCACATATGCCCCCATCATTATTTTCAAAGCATTCTCTTCCCACTTGAGCCCGATATCCGCTCCCCATTTCTTCCCCCTCCCTCCCCCACCCACCCTCCCTCACAAACTCTTGATAAGTTATATATTATTTTTTCCATATCTTACATTGTCCTCCATTGCCCCTCACCCATTTTTCTGTTATTCATCCCCCTGGGAGGGGGTTCTAGTTTGATCTGGGTGATCCGTACCCCCTTTCTCCCCACACCCTCCCCTAATCCTCTTGGTATCTCTATTCTCCTTGTTGGCCCTGAGGGGT